TTCTTCACATATACAGACAAATATCTTTCTAACGGTATGCGTACATTTAGAAAACAGGGTTTTAATAAACATGCTTACCTATTAATATATAGAAACGCATGCACAAACAGGATCCCATATAGGGTGTGCCACGAAAGCCCTGCCGTTTTTAAATTCGAACACGTTATAGTTTCAAAACGTTTACCACCAACAAACACAAATGTAGATCAATTATCCACGATTCCTACTTTACTCTGACTAATGAAAAAAAAATGGCTGAAGATAAAACTAATAGTATGTTGTCGTAAAGCAATTTTTTAGCGACACTATTCAGTTCAAACTGATTCCTGATTTATTTACAGCGTTACTTCAGTAGACAAAATTAAAGTAATTAATGAACTTAAATTATGTTTTGTCGTAAAAAAGGCAATTTGATTGTAAACCTTCATTAGAATTTATGTCATTATATCGCTATGCACTATTTTAATCACGCTATCAAACCTTTTTGGTGATTTTGTTACTTAGCCATTTTGTTGCTGTTAATCAGAAGTAAGACCCGAAAGGGTTTTTTCGCATTTGTATTTTTCAAAACTGTATAGTTTCAAGTTTGTAGCTTGGTCCGATACGCCTGGTATATTAATTCAAAAATATCTACCTCTTCGTGGAACACCCTATATTCAATTACATTACACCAATAATTTTGTCTAAGTTATAGGACTACAATATTTGCAGGTACTGCGAGGTTGACAAGACAAAAGCTCCGTCTTGAGCAGCTCAGTTATATTATTGCCTAAAATCAGACAAATCTAAGGAACGAAAATTTTTTTAAGAACATAGGTTGAACACTGATGAATAGTTCAGCATAGTAATTATTCCTCTAGACATGTAATGTTGAATAGATCGTTGTTCGTTCTGTCCATTATGTATTTTAATTACATTTCGCTAATTCATTATTGTATTCTCGAGGATTTATTACACAATTAGAGGGAGGTTCGCGCCGCTGGAGTCGAGGCCCTGCTACGAGCAAAGCTCTACACGAGGTTAGTTTTAATTAATTCTACAAACTACGCGGCGGAGGCCGCTCTGTTAACTTGGCGGGAAATACTCCATTCTTTTGTGTCTTAAAAAACTAAAAAAATATTTCTCACTTTTTTCTTTTCTGCCGAAACAGTTTTGATAGGTGCTTAAACGATTTCTTGATGAGAAAAATTACTTTAAAATGTCTTCTGAAATAGTTAGTTCCATGGAAAATATTTAACATTTTAAAATATTTGTATTTTTAAATACTTAAATTACATTTGTAATATTAAAAACATGATAATACCTCAAGTTTTCTTAAACCACGAGACAAATTTGCAGTTTGTTATTTAAATGCATTTTATATCCAACAATATTACAGTGTTTACTTCGGTTGTTTTATAACATTTTAATCGTGCCATTGTTTTAATTTTATGTTTTTAAATCAAACCAGTAAATATATTCAAACAATCAATTAAAAACAATTATCATACACAAAAATACTTTTAATAACCAACCCAATGAAAGTATAGTTTAATTTTCTACGTGAATTATTTGTCAGATTTTAACCTCACTAGGATCAAGGAAATATAATCACGTTTTACTGACTTCAATTACATAACTAAAATAAATTCAATGAAACAGTTTTACGTAAGATAATTAATCCGCGAAGAATCAAAATTAACTTAATTATAGCATCCCTAGATATAACACCGTTTGCAAACATAAAAAATGAACATGAATATAAATCTGTATTTTCTCATCTGTAATTTGTTTTGCACTAGCAATAAAAAGAGCAAATAATCCGTGCGGTCTGGTGGAGATATTTGTCAATTAGTGATTAGTGACGTTGTCAGAAACGCTCCGATGGGCCTTTGACATGACATGTGTTGTGTTGTGTTGTGTTGAAGACTGCCATGTGCCGTCTTGTTGTGTCTCCAAACAACATTTCCACATTTCCTACTGACTTACTGTTATTGTCAGACACATTGTGTTTTGTAACCGCGAGACAAAATCGTCTGACACTGTGACAACTGTCCTTCGTCAAAGCAATTAGGTGAAAAGAAACGTAACGGTTTATCAATTTGTTCTATGCTATTTCATTATTTTTTTGTGATTGTTGTTTCTAAAATCGCATAGGCTACATTTTATACCTCTTAGAAAAACGTGAATTTTGTTAGTCAAGTTTGTTATCTAGATGCAAACTCCAATTGAGTATATTCTTGAGTGTGGTAGATTGCGTGAAAATACAATAATAATATCTATGGTTCTTACCGTCAACGCAATCAGGGGTAATATTCCACTACGGCCGTTTCGGAGATGACTCCATCGTCAGGTGCGTAGTGGTACACTAAGCTATAGTCTTGTCACATTTACCACGAATTGTCTTCATTTGCATTGCGTCAGGGGTTGAATAAATAATACAAATATAAGCACAGGACGGACACACGAATACACGAAATGTTTTCATGTGTCCGTCCTGTGCTTATATGTGTATTATTTATTCAACCCCTGACGCAATGCAAATGAAGACAATTCTATCTTCAGTATATACCTAAAATATTTTTAAAGAAGGTAGTAATAACAGTTTTATAAATACTACTTTGATCGATTGCACCTTTTATGATAATTGGGTCGTTCGAAATCAACTGTAAGCATAGATTACGCACTTCCAAAGCAATTTAAAATAATTACATAATGTAAATTGGCTCTAATGGGTGCATTACCTACAAAAGAAAGTTAGCAAGCCCCGGAACAAGACACGATTATAACTTTGATCTGCTAAGTAAGCCTTTGTTCCTCGTCCTGTTAATGGTTCTCCTTTAGCGTAAAGACTCAACCCCCCCCCCCTCAACCCGGCCCCATCGTTATAGCTAGAACAATGAATTTGTTTTAAAGTTAAAAATACTCCCTTACCGATGTGGTGGATATAATTATGCATGACCATAACAGCGTTTATGATATGACATTTAAATCTGATACTTTTGACGTAATACAATTCAAATTCTAGTGAAGTGCATTTGAAAGAAAAAAATTATCCTCACGCATGTGTTCTCAGATGTCTGCTATTGTTTAAAGCCGTAATAGATAAAAATAGGTATTTAATTACTCTATGATTTCTTATTAAATAATGAACGGTTTAAAGTCACCACAAAATATATGATTTAGGAGTATTAAACCTATGTATTTGAGTTTACAGGGAATGCAGCCTATGCTAAGAAACTATCTTTTTTATATCTATTCCTTTGGCAATGTCTGAAATATGTGTTCCAACCAAAGCTGTGTTGCCACAGTGCCTAAAAGCCTTCTGTGCTTATAACTTCCCAATGGTGTAAAGTTCCTCACTTCATATATACAGTATGTATGTATATACAACATGTTATCTTAGAATATATTATGGAAAGGTGGTATTTTAAGTTACTTTTTTCAAAAATATGCTATTGTTTACGATTTTAAAATTGATGTTGACTTTGCACCCATTATACTAACATTACAAACACAATAACACACAAAAACCTAAAAGTTTTAATGAAATAGATTACTGCTTATATTCCACGAGCGTTATGATAAATAATTACAAAAAACCCTGTTCTGTACGGAAATTAAACAGACACAATGAATCGCAAATTGTACTTCTTTTAATGTATTATAGAAGATACTGGGTTATTTAACGTTCATATGCAACCATTACCAGATTATTACCATCCAGATTAGTATTTTATAACTAGTTTACTAACATATGTTTAAGCTTGTGTTCACTACACACAATCTTATTATGTGATTGTCTGCGTTTATAAATCACAAATTCAAATACTATCAGTACCAACTTAAGAGGTTGAAATTATTTTTTAAGACATTTAAATTACTAAGCGAAGAGTTTCTGCTCAGCTGCTATTTAAGTTAGTCCCGATTGTTACATCAACATCTGCAGGCCAGTATTGGGACCGCTTCATTAATATTAATTATTACTGTCTTCCCTATAGCTTCATTAAAACTTCTGAGTCATTGCAGAACTCTGGAATTAATTCTTTCTCCAGCCACCCTATTTCTGCTGAATACTTCTCGTCGTTTTGGTTTTGAAATTATACATTATTATTTCATGTAGATTAATATTAAACATTAAAAATCATAAATGATACAATATGATTAGAATAATTCTTAATATCAACTATGTGGACTGTCTTTACAATAACCTCTACGACTATAAGAAACATGTAATACGTACACTGATAATGATTGTTTGGTATTCACTCAGTGCTGTAGAATATGATGCTATGTAAGCATTGCAGCAAACGTTTGCGCATTAAAACAAAAAAAAAACAAAAAATGGTTAAGTAATTCAATCCATTATGGATTTTCAAAACAATATAGTAGTTTGACAACGTTTATAGTCACATTTATTTATAATGTGATTGATTTAGTTCACATACTCTTCCTAGTCAATTGAACATCGGTTTTCTTTCTTAAAAAAATCCTGAAATGAAAGTATATATTTACTCTCAATAGTCAAACTGGGAGTTTTTTGGATTACTCGAATAGTCAGATTAACACAAATAGTACGAACGCATTCTATAAAAGAAGGAATATCAACCACAGGATGTGGTACCATAGACTATAATATAGGTATTCAAGCTGTTCAAAAGCATCACAATTCCAAAACTGTACATTCTACAACCAACGTCACATTTAGTGCTGCTATGGATTACTGAGAGTCAGAAATTAAGTATAGCATTTTTAAGTGCCAACTTTAACTAAATTCAACGAAATTTATTAGGATGTGAATTTTATTGAAAGTTTAAGTAAACAAAAAATCATAAAAAATAAATGTATAACTATCTTGATCTCTGAACTACTTTAATTTCTTATCTGTTTAACTAATAGACGTTATGATTTTACAATAATCACGACTTCAGATATTTTATATATGTTTAACATGACATAATTAACATATTAATTATTAAACATATCACAACACATACTTATAATGTAAATCTGTGTTGCAGTGGGAAGTACTGAGGATGCTAAGGGTACTCCGGACTCCAGCAAGCTAACTGTTAAGAAAGCCCGGCCTAAAGCGTCTTCGCCCAACCGTCAAGGCCCCCAGCAGTGTCAGGTATGTACAGTATTATGTTTAAATGTCGTTTTACAAACTCTGTTTTTTTTACCAAACCATTAGTTTTGTAGCTTAGGTTTGTAAAATTAAATAGTTTCTTACAATCTTAATTTTCCTCGTAAATCTTTTGTCAAATTAATATATATCTATTGTTACTTATTGTCTGTAACTTGTTTTTTTTTTACTTTTTATTTTTTGTTATTATTAGTATTAGATAATGATGTCAATTTGCGTAAATTAAGTTATTTAATTACCTTAGAATAAATGGATAAGAATGTTAGATAACAAATAGCTACATAAAATTTAGAAAACGTATAGAAAGAACTGCTAACGAGGAATTACTCCATTAAATCAAACTATAAGTAGGAAAATAAAATTATGGGAATATGTTTTACGTTATATTTAAGATTTCCTTCTGACTCCTTGCGGGACGTCCCCATCACAAGACAGAAAACTCATTGTTCCTTCAAAAAGTAGATGTTTATGTGTCGTGTTGATGTACCAAATTTTATTGATTTACGCGTTATAGTTCGGCATATATATAACCCGTGCGAGACTTTATGTACACCCTGTATACTCATGGACTAAAATCTGTTTAAAGTATTTTAAATTTGTTCTTTTTTTGTGATATAACATAAGAATCAATGACAATCTTTGTTATTTGTTTAACACTATTTGCTTTGGTTGTTTTACGTAGTATTTTACACCTTGTGCTTAGAGAAAGGGGACTTTTATAAATAAATTTTTAAAAATTGGGGGTCTGGATAGAACATAAGTTTATTTAAAGAGACAAAATAACATGAGAAGTGATTTGCAATGGTTGAATGCAACAGAAAAATTGTAATGCGTTTAGGTTGTGGACTACGCCAAATATTTGTAGGAAAATTTGAAAATAATACAAACATCTCCAAACTCTTGAAATTAATAAAATTCTCTTAATATTGAATGAAAAACTCGTTACGAAATTATTGAACTATATGACTACAGTTCATTTTGAAGGTGGATATAAAGCATGACGTTTTTAAACTAAAGCCGGGCAAAACTACAATCTTAAGTTAAGTCAATTTACGATAACACATGAAATTAATATTTAATAGATTCTTAGAAGGGTAAACTTATCAACAATTATTACATCTTTACAAGTATCGGTATTGAAAAGTTATAGGTCTGTAGTTTTATAAGTATTTCTAAACGTTATACTTGAAAAATATGGAATGCAATCAACTAGCCAACTAATTGTCAACCAATTGAATTATTCGACTTGTACAAATTATAAAACTGAGTACAGAGCAATCCACTCTGCAATAGTGTCGTGTAAGCACAAGCAAAATGAGACACAGAGATGTTTTATACTCCACGAAGCACAAAATAAATCTCTCCCCCGGTCCCTACAAATCATCCGAAGTAACGGCACGGAAAGAAAAACTCTTTCAAGACTGCTAAGAACTTTGAGCATTATGCTTTATGTACTAGGTTTTCCAAAAATATCTTACGCTGTCAATAAGAAACTGTAAACTACGTTTATAAAATGAATGTAAGCGTTTTAAATAAGTATAAGCTATCCTCGGAATAAATGTATCATTATTATTAAATTATGATTATGTAAAAATACAATAATTTATAGGACGTTGACCTTTTAAATACTTAATCTCATCCTCTCTATGCAATGTAAATAATTTCACATAAGATACACGGCTTAAAAATAAAATTTTGTTCTTAAGTTTTGGCACATAACCTAAAACATGTTATTTGTTTCCTGTAGTGATAGGGATTTTTCGCTACACTACTGTCAAATTACCTGTTTTTGTTGCATGTTTATCACCTGCAAAATTCATCATTATATTGTTCACTGCGGAAAAAAGAATGTTTACTATGTGAAAGTAATGATTACTATTTTTTCGAAGTAAACAAAGATCTGTCATTGTTTTGTCAACTGTTTGAATTTTAAACAACAAAACTATACAACCAATTTAAAAAATATTAAATTTAAATTGAAGGCTTAGCCTAAAAAATGCTATGAGTTTTGTAGTGTTCCTAACTGTAATTAAGAAATATCCAATGTCTGTTTTAATTAATAAAATAATTAGTCTTTTTAGTGTAGCAAAAAGTACCGATTAAACACGAGTGAAAGTGGGACTGTACATAATCTCGACCATTTAAAGTGCTCGATAAATCTCGCATTTCAAACATGGTCTCAAATATGTAATGACTCACTTTCTACTCTTGTTATGAAATACATACTCTTTCGTAATACTGCAGAAAAACAGCCGTTTATATTACTTGCGTTGTGGGTGTAAAGAAGCTCTTTTTCCCCCTTTTGAGTAAAAAGCTTTATTAGTCCCTAGAAATAAAAGTCAGCTGGTGTTAACTATGTTATTAACTTTTGATTATTTAACCAGCTATAGCTTATTGTTGCCTTATTGTCAACAGTTCGACATATCGATAGTATAATGTCTATCACAATCGTAATAATTTCGTTGAATCATTTACATGCCTAGCAAAAGCTGTTCTTACCATACTAATAAAAGAAGAGGTTAATTTATTGGAAACATTAAAGATACTTTAAGCTTATAAACTGAAGCATGCATTGACGTTGCATGTTTTAGTGAAACAAAATTGGGTTTTCGTCAATAAAGTGTTTGATAAAACATTATTATCTAAAACAAAGATTGAAATTATCCTGATAAAAGGTTGACCCATACTATCACTTGGAATTGGGTTTGGAAAAAATAAAAAATAAATACATACCATTACAAGGCACATGAATATCACAGTTAAGTATTCAAGACCTTAAGTTTTACAAGCTATCCTTAATAATGACATTTTAACGTTTTCATTGATATAGATTTTAATTTTTATGATATAATTCGGTATAATTTTCCTTATTACGATAGATTAATTTGCTCGCGTAGATTAGCGGGGTTTTCCTTATACATTGTATTTCACAATTCTAAGTAGCTATCAGAAGCTGCGCTCTTCACCACTTCGCTGTAACCTGATGGGAACCTCCCTCGGTCTCCATGGCAGCCGACTGCCTATAAACATAGACCCAATAATATTGACACTGAAGCAGGCGTGTTTGATTTGGATCTGCTATTTGTTGACAGCATTTGTGATCAGAGATTCGTTAGCTTGTGCGCGCTAACAACCACAGACAGTTATCGAACATAACATTTGAAACTAATAATATCAACTATATGGATCTTAATTTATTAATTTAAATCACGTTACATTGTAATAGATTCATGTCCAACTAAAACTTTTTTATTCTCTTTACCCTAATTACAATATTTTACATTCTTTACAGAAGGTACTTGAAAACAGTCCAATCTCCTTTAGAGAATTGAAAAAAGTTGGCTATGTTTGCTGGAATGCCACCAGATGCACTATTACTCACTTTAGACTATTTACGGTGTTTGATAATCACTTAGAAGCATAATGTCTAGTTTTATTGCCTAATATTAATCATTGTATAAATTGAAATATAAACACACGATATATACACCAAGTACACTCGTTTGCATTTATGCAATTAAATATTGCACAAGTTTATGCAATATTTAATCTGATTCAGTATTTCACATTACATTAATATCACATCAATGACTTTGTCACATCTGTGATATAACGAACTCGTCGTAACAGTATTCACATTATTCTTAACTATTAAATGAAATATAATGCTTTTCCATTGCAAATCGTGATTTAATTCCTTGCAATAACTAGTTTATACCCAGACATACATAGTTTACATATTATAGGCCTACACCTTACAAAACTGGGTGAGGCAAAAGTAACCGGTTAATTTTCTTATTTCCTTGATGCCAACAATAGAAGGAGTGAAAATAATTTTGTTTTGTTTTGATTTGCTTGTGTTTACCCTTGCCTACTCCAAGTCCTTTCACAAAATTTAGGTATTTTAAGAAGATTTACTCGCGGCCCCCACCACTTTTTTTAAGTTAATCTATGTATTAGCTGAACATCTGGCTGTTGTTTTGAAGTCAGGGTGAGGTGGAGAGGATGGAATCTCTTCCCCTTGAACCACCAAAATTTTGTGAACGGTGTTTGAAGAGCCTGTTCAATAAAATTACTACTGGAGCAGCAAAAATATTTTTTTATGTGTTCAAGTTTCCCTGAACTGGAGCCCATGTGATTGATCAACGAAAAAAAAAACCAGAAACACATTTCAAAAACCCAAAACGTCTGTTTTTGTGGTATCCATTTTATGAACATGCACGTGTTAAATTAAGTGCTGTGTTAATTAAGAAAAAGAAATACATTTATTTTCTTTTGCACTATTATTTCAAAAACACAATATTATACATTTTCAACAAAACAGTAATTACAGTAATGACAGAACAGTAATTAAGATCAATCCTATATACACCAAATTGGTCAAAAACTAAATCGATTTCTTTGTTATAAATTGTTTCCGTATGTCTATTTCCATAGTTACAACCAAGTAAGAATTCCCAAGACCATTTTTGACATATATTTTTTAACTGAAAAATGTTTATTTTCACATTGATGAATTGAGATTTAACTGTAATTTGTCATTTCATAGCAATAATATACAATCCACACGTAAAGTCACGTGGACATTCGGTTTGATTGTTTTGAAATGGTACCAAGTTTTCTTATTTAACCTAAAAGTATCAAGAGAAAAAACTCGGAAAGCAACCCGTGAGGAAATTTTATTACGGAAGTGTAAGAAGACTTACATATTTATAGTTTTATATGCATTAGGAGTAGGGGGGGGGGAGAAAGAAGGGGTATCTTGAGAGAGAATCGGGCCACGAATCGTTTTGGCAACCCAAGCTGGCTAAGGCCCATTTCCATTATTGGCAATAATGATGCGCATTAAAACTGCATTTAGAAAACACTTACATTAATTTTAACTATCCGACCTTAATATATTGTGCACTATGACTCATTCGTAAGTTTATGCGATGAGAAGTACACTATCATCCTTAGTTAGTTTATTTGAGTTTCTTGTTATT